TGGGCGTCACAACTTGCAAATTTTGACTTCGATATTAAATATCGCTCGGGAAAGCATAACACAAATGCCGACGTACTATCGAGATTACAGTGTTCTGAAATATTGTGCAATGTTACCGGATTATCTTCAATTCCAAGTGATTTGAGACAGAAGGATAGTTTAAGTGCAATTATTTCTGAACAGTCCACATTTCCGGAAATTGACAGAGTAAAGATCAAAGAATTACAGATGAAAGACAAAGCAATATCTACATTAAAACAACACTTGATCAACAAAACTGTGCCATCTGTGAAGTTTATTAAACAACAAGATAAGATAACTGGATTATTACTGAAACAGATTCAACGTGTTTTAGTGTGTGATGGAGTCTTATACAGGAAAGTGTCAGACCCAAAGTTAGGTGAATTAAAACAAATTGTGTTACCAATGTGTATGAAAAACATTGTGATGGAAAATTTACATGACCATACAGGACACCAAGGTATAGAAAGAACAGTGAACCTAGTAAAACAACGATGTTATTGGCCAGGCATGTACAATGATATCAAGGGCTATTGCAAAAAGTGTGAGCGATGTTGCCTAGCAAAACTCCCTACACCTAAAGTCCATACTCGTCAGGAACATCTGATCGCTTCTGAACCTTTGGAAACTGTCGCTATTGATTTCACGGTTTTAGAACCAGCGCAGGGTTTCGAAAACGTTTTGATAATCACAGATGTATTTACCAAATGGACTATAGCTGTACCTACCAGAAATCAACTTGCTCAAACTGTGGCCAAAGTGTTGGTTAACGAATTGTTTTGCAAGTTCGGAATATGTAAACGAATTCATTCAGATCAGGGGAGATGTTTCGAGGCAGAAATTATACAAGAATTGTGTAGGATTTATGGAATTAAAAAATCAAGAACCACCGCTCATCATCCTGAAGGAAATGGTCAATGCGAACGTTTTAATAGAACTCTGCATAACTTACTTAGTACTTTATCTCCATACAAAAAGAAACGTTGGTTCAAATTATTGAGAATAAATTATAAAATTGTCAAGACAAAAATTTATAACCTCAAATTACTGTATTAAATTTCTTAACAAATTGAAGTCTTAAAATTTCTATTTTGCACTTGACCTGTGATTTCACTGTAATGCCTAAAGATAAAATTATTTTGAAATAATATGAAGAAACTACAAAGAATTCTGCATTTTATGGTGTTTTAGTTATAAACAAGATGTGTTTGTGAAACGCTATGCGCCCGGCGGCAACAAAGTTCAAAAAATCTATTTTTAGCATATTGATCACAGTCCAGGTCACAAGATCATTGACCATGGTGTCATTTGAAAGAATTTAATCAGTGGAGTATGCATACTAAATATGAAGTCCCTATCTCCTGTGGTTCAAAAGTTATGACAAACAGTGTAAAAAGCTATTTTTAGCATATAAGTCACAGTCAAGGTCACAACGTCATTGACCATGGTGTCATTTGAAAGAACTTAATCGGTGGAGTATGCATACTAAATATGAAGTCCCTATCTCCTATGGTTCAAAAGTTATTGCAAAAAGTGTAAAAAGCTATTTTTAGCATATAGGTCACAGTCAAGGTCACAAGATCATTGACCTTGATGTCATTTCAAAGTACTCTATTAGTGTAGTATGCAAACTAAATATGAAGTCCCTATCTTCTATGGTTAAAAAGTTATGACAAACAGTGGAAAAAGCTATTTTTAGCATATAGGTCACAGTTAAGGTCACAAGGTCATTGACCTTGGTGTCATTTGAAAGGACTTTATTAGTGGAGCATGCATACCAAATATGAAGTCTCTATCTCTTATTGCTCAAAAGTTAAGGTCAAGGTTAAAGTTGACAACAGACAAAAAGACAGGACAAAAACAATATACGCCCGGGATCTATCGATCCGGGCGCATCAAAATGAGCAACTAATAACACTGATTAGTATTTTAGAAAATTGCATTTTTCAATGAAGTATGTAGTGGAAAAATAAAATTATGACTCACTTAATATTATGGCCATGCAGGTACTGTAGGTCCCAGTGACTTTGTTGTAACTGAGTTTTACTGTAGTGGGTTAACCCTTTAGCTCAGTCGGTAGAGTATTGGATTTTAAATCTGAGGGTTTTTAAGGTTCAAGCCACAGTAAGGACACCCCTAGCTAATCAGTCATATAAAGTTTTATTAGGTCTGCAGAATTTTCAAACATTTCCACTGATATTTGGTCAATTTTTGACAAAATCCAGCAGCATTTTACTTTTAATGTATGGATTGATGAACATATTTTTGGACTGCAATGATTTTGATTTGAAATGATATGAATAATAGGTACCTAAAATATCAAGAAATCATGTTATCCTCTGTGCTTAGATAAGAGACTTTGTTTCACTTTCTATACAATTCCAAACAAAATTTTGCACAATTTTTTGCCTTAATAATTGTGACAAAATATTAGAAATTTCCCTCATTACACCTATAGTAAACATTATTCAGATTACCAAGGATCTATTTCAATGCAAATATTTAATTTTTTTCACTTGTTTGTTGCTCTGTTGAGCAACAAACAGATTGTCATTTGTATCTGTACACAGTCCCTGGGGTAATCTCAGTCCACAGTCTATGTAACGGAGGAACTGTCCATCCTGGTCTATGATGTGGATACAGTGATTGTTATAATCAGCTGTAAGGATGTGACTCTGACTGTCTGTGGTGATTCCTAGTGGAATGAATGATCGGTTCTTTGGAGCAGCAGTATGTCCAGTGTACCTGAATCTCAGTTTCCCGGCCTGATTGACCACCACTATTGCTTTAGCTCCACCATCAGACACACAGATATCCAGGTTCCTGTTCTCAGTAATGTAGAATTTTTTATAAGAACCAGATGAATAGAGAGGTTTACCTTTATCATCAAACTGAATGGTTTGTTTCTCTGTGGAGCCAGAGTAACGGACAACTTTTGTTTGTTTGTAATCATTACTTTCCATGATAACCAGGAGGTCACCAGAGGAGGTACTACAGACACCGTCAGGTCTCCAGTTCTGTAGTCTGATCACCTCCTCTATCTTCTTATTCTTCACAATGTTCACAGTTCTATCATTGATATCAGTATAAACTAGATCTCCACTTTTTGTCACTGCTATGTCCTCTGGTGAGTTCCCTGACTTGGTTTTGATCAACTTGAGTAGTGATCCCTGATTGATGCTATAGAGTTTCATGGTGTAACCATTCCCACTTGTCCAGATTTCTTCATCACTCAGACAGGCCACATTGTAAAGTTGTGAGGAAATCAGCGAATATACTGCTTGTATGTCTATTTTTATGGTGGTGACAGTCTCTGGTTGATCAAGCAGCTGTTTGACTGGAGGAGAGGATCCAGCTTCTGGTGATTTCTGTGTTGTCTTCATTTTGTAGCCGTGTTTATCTGATGTTAAAGAACTTGTTGATAAAACTCCAAACAATTTAACAAGTTCTTCATGGATTGTTCCCGGCATGAACTTGGGTAAAGATAGTATCATTTTGTTTGGAAGATTTCTGTATAAATGTACACTGAGTGTGACACTAAACAGTTTTGACAAGTCATTATTGTCTGTAGCCATTTCAAGTGAATCAATTTCATCCTTGATGTCAGACATTGTCTTGTTTATTTCATCCAGTTGTTTCTGTAGAGTTTGTAACTGTGTGTTTTTCATCTCATCAACTTCAGCTTTAAGTTTCTGGACAACTTTGTCAATTTCTCTGTGCCAGTCCTCTCCATGTTTTGTTATGGCTGTTGAGAGATCTCCATATTCCTTTTCTAACTGACTCATTCTGTTTTGTACATCAGAGGCAATGTCCTGGTAGGTGGGATAAATTGTTTCATTTAATTCAGTTACATTTTTCTTAATTTTGTTTCTTCTTTCATCTGGAACTTGTAGAACTTTCAAAATTTTATGACCAAGGTGTTTGTCAGATGCAACGCAACTTGTGCAAACAGGAATGTCACATTGATTACAGAACATTTCACATCGTTCTTTGTCATGAGTTGTACATCCAGGGTAGAGGGGGGTGGATTTCCTCAGCTGAAATTTAACGACTTTGTGGTCCTTAGATTCATCAGATATCATATGTTTTCCTACACAAGCTGTACACAGGTTGACAAGACATGTATCACAGTGCATCTGTACCACAGCGGTTTCACACAGGTCACATTGCATCACGTCCTGGGCACTGGTACGGGGGTCCATGATTAATTTCAAAGCTCTATAATATCAATCTGAAAATAAAATGTTTACATTCTTACTAGGAATATTTTCAAAAGTTAAATAAAGACATCCATCTTTAATCCAACAGGACTTAGGAAATAGATGAATTCTGTTCCCATGGTTAAAACATATTCAATCTTATGGTTTTCAAATGAGTTAATACTATCCTATTTATTATTACCGGTACCTGAGAATTCAGTAATGGCGGTCGTCCATGGTCGATCTCCAAGTGCAGTCTCTCTGTACAGAGTACACACTGATCACGTGACATACCTGTGTTATCTACCTGTCAGGTGTTTATACTTCCTGGTCTAGAAGGGGATTTAAATACCTTGCTATGCAAATTATTTGAATTTAGTATAACAGTTGAAATTTGAAATGCTGGGTTTTAATATTTATTTAAATTTAGAACATTATCACATTTTATAATTTTAAAGCATTAGAAATGTAATATTTCAATTATGTAAATTTACAAAAGAAATATACAATTATAAAAATAACTCTCAATCTAATTAGGCATATGAAAGCAAGATTCTGTATTTAATTCTCCCACCACAGCAGGAAAAGTATAGCTGTAGCAAGAATATGAATGAAATATGGAGATAACGAACAGTAATCTTAGGCTCAAAGGTCAACTGAATTAATACAACAGTGGGCAGAGCAAACACATAAATTAGTTCTCTTGAAGCATCAGAGATAAGATCTAGTGCCATAGAGGAGTAAGCATCAACTTGTCATACTTGCTTTGTGCTTCTTGTCGTGATGGGACAAACGCAAAATTTGTAATTATGGTGTTCAACTATTATTTTCTGTTTGGTTTAGAAGGGGGTTAAAAATAGGAATAAATAAAAATTCTTCAATGTCATGTTTTTATTTATTTCTTCCAGGTGCAGGATACCATTCAACCCAAAAAGAAGATGCTTATGTGAAACTCTGTAAATCTACATGCTTAAAGGTAAATACACATTAATAATATAAATGTTCCCCTCAGAAGAATTATTACTACAGTTTCAGTGACTTTCATTGTGTATTTCTTGATTGATTACATTCCTTATATTTGAGTTTTAGCTCAACTGAACCAGAGGTGTGAATTTTCTGATAAAAAAATTGTCCGTGGTGACGTGGTCTGTCGTCTTTGTTGTTATTTTCATATTTTTTAAAAACATTTTTATTTTCCTCTCTGGAACCACTGGTCCCCAATGTCAACTACGGTAAGCCTAGCAAAGAGTATCCTGGGGTCAAGAGGGTTCAAAGTTCCAATGGAGGGCCACACCCTCTTCCATTGGGAAATAGTTATGAAAAAGTAAAAATTTGATAGGGTAAATTTAAAATCTTCTGCTCAAGATGAAACTTATGTGAAAGTCTCCTGACATAGTGCAGATTAAGATGCTTTGTTGGTAGGGTAATGACACAAATGCAGTAGAGTAAAGAAGTTTTGAATATGAATACCTAGAAAAAACCTTCTTCATGAAGAACAGCAAAACCTGAGTATTTAAATTCCTTTGCCAAAGGAATATAACTACTCAGGTTTTGCTGTTCTTCATGAAGTTTCTTCAAGGAATTCCAATTCAAAACTTCGTTACTCCATTTCATTTGTATCATTACCCTACCAACAAAACATCTTTTTGGAAACATCCACAGGTAATGTAGATTCGTCCATGATGCCTGCTGGTAGGGAACCACAGAGGCAATCAATACATACAAATGTATTAGAAATATCTGTTATGTTTTCTCAGGAGCATTAATTTCATGATTAATGCTTAGTCATACTCTTATAGAAGGATTTTCAGGTGGTGTGTAGATTCAGCTTTATTCAAATCATGACTTTGGGGGGTCGAATGGGACCACAATTTGTGTTCAAAGTTTCACTGGGTAAAACTGCTTATAAAAAGGTGAGCATTGTGACCCTTTGGCCTTTTTAAACATTTTGGCAAATAGATTGACACAAAAATTGATTTAAAAGGCTTTATGAGATTTAAAAAAAGAGATTTAACAGGTTTATAACACCAAAAGATTCTTTTTGATAATGAAATTGATGAATTCTTGTTCACCATGTATTGTAGGATTCATTTATACGAATCATATAATTATGTATTTCATAATTCACCAACCAGGAGGTTAAATCAACTTGGATCAATATTTTTTCTTAAAATCTCAAAAAATTATGGTCATATTCTGTGATTAAAATGATTTTACAGTATAGATTGATAGCTTGATAGTTTAGATGTGCAGTGTGGGATTATGTTGCCTATGGGCCCATTGTTTCACATTTTCAATACTTGGTTTTTGTTTTATCAGATGTCCCATTTGCTCAAGAAAGGGTGGGGTGCTGTAGAATGTGTGACAGAGGCAGTTAAACTTTTAGAGGTATGGACAAAAAAACTACAAACTTTCAAACTGCAAGAGCAAATTACGAATATATTTTTCTCCCACCACATCAGGGATGGTATAGTAACATGTACGTTTGTATATGAATTAAATATGGAGACACTAATAAATGGTAATCTGAAGCTCAAAGGTCAATTGAATCATTAAAACTCGGGAGCAGAGCAAACACGTAAAGTTTTCTTGAAACTTCAGAGATTGGATCTAGTTTGGAACATTAACTTGGTAAGCTTAACACTTTTAGTAAAATTTCTGGGGTTTATTCAACAGCATAGCTTTTACATAACAGTTACGGAAAGCTATGCTCTTGTGTAAATAGAAATAGCATAAATATTTTTTTGCCAAGTACCAAATCCAAGATGGCTAAATCCTTGTATACAGTTGTATTAATTTTACAACTTCACAATACATATGACTTTAATAAAAAAAAAGGTACTATTTTCCACATCTGAGGGTATTAACTGTTAACTTACTTATATATTTTCACAAGAAATAAACTTTTATTGATTAAAAAAATATTCATCCAAAATTCTTGGGTGTTATAATCTGCTACTACTCGAGTATTGCTTTTAAAATCATGGTAAAGTCTTGTTACACAAACTTCATTGAGATATCCAAGGTAAAATACTTCAAGAAAAAGTGGTTGGGCTTTCAAATCAGATATTGGTGGTCAAGATACCAAAGTTTAACTGTAGTATGTGCAAGATTTTGTCTTCATCTTTAAGGATGCAGTGCTGACTAATGCAGGTATGGGATCTAATCTTAATCTCAGTGGCTCTGTTGAATGTGACGCCTCTATTATGGAGGGAAGGAAGCTGATGTTTGGAGCAGTGGGGGCCATTTCTGGTAAGAAATCACACAATACAGGGAAAAATAAATATGGGGAAAAGAGGATCTTTTTTCTTGTGATTTAAGTTTAAGTTTTAATATATAATCTGTGTTCCAGGTGTCAAGAACCCAGTAGAGGTGTCGGCCACACTGGTAAACAGACAGTTAGGGGACAAATTGTCCTTAGGGAGACTTCACCCAAGGTAAATACTGTAAAATCACATATTTTCGTGGGGACAAATTTTCGTGGTTTGAGGAAAATCTCTTGGTTCGTGGGGATTTGATTTCGTGGATCAAGAATTAATGAGTACTTCTGTGTGTGACATTTTATATTTCGTTGTGGACATGAATTCGTGGGTCTTGTCATACCACGAAAACAACGAAAATTAAACCCCCACGAAAATTTGTGATTTCACAGTATACTGTAGATCACTAAATTTTCGCGACATCTTATTTTCGCGAAATAGTCATTGACTCTTGATTAGCGAGACAAAATTTTCGCGAATTGTGGTTATCACTCTATATAATCTTAAGGAATACTATTATACGTGAGAATTAAATTTATGTGAGCACACTGTCTCGTGTAATTACGCAAAAATAAAATTCTCGCGAATAAAAAGTGATTTGCAGTAATTCATGACTGAACATACCCTACTGATCTAATAGGGATGGTGGCTTGATGTTATCATGATGTCATCTTCTTTTAATTTAATAAATATTTTTAAAGTAAACTGTCTTCTGCAGTGTTCTTGTAGGTGATGGAGCTAAGCAATGGGCTGAAGAAAATGGAATAAAAACTTTGGAAACTAGACACCTAATTACAGGTAAAATAATCAATAAATGACATAAGATAAAAGAGAAACTAGACACCTAATTGCAGGTAAAATAATCGGCACATGACTAAGGTAAAAGAGAAACTAATCACCCACTTACAGGTAAAATAGTTAATAAATGACCAAAGTAAAAGAGAAACTAGACACCTTATTCAGGTAAAATAGTCAATATGTGACTAAGGTAAAAGAGAAACTAGACACCTTATTCAGGTAAAATAGTCAATATGTGACTAAGGTAAAAGAGAAACTAGACACCTTATTCAGGTAAAATAGTCAATATGCGACTAAGGTAAAAGAGAAACTAGAAACCTAATTACAGGTAAAATAGTCAATAAATTACCAAAGTGAAAGAGAATTTAGACACATAATTACAGATAAAATAGTAAATAAATGAAAAAAGGTAAAAGCTGTAAGATTGGTTTATAAATATAGGAAAGAGAGACTTTCAATTAAATGACAGTCTCTTTCTGAAAGCAGGTGTCTCCAGTAATGGCTAGGTGTAAAATATTCAGACCTTCTTATGTTATACTTTAGATGATGCACAGAAAACTTACCAGAATCACAAAAGGAAACTGGACATTGTAAATGAAAGAGACGCCAGCAAGAAAATGAAGTTATCAGAACAGGTAAATTTTGCTATAATATCTGCAGTCATTCTTAATGGAAAGTGGTCACATGGATAATCAGTAGGTCAGTTTCTCATTCCTCCCAGTGCCTCAAACTACATACAATGTAATGAGGTTGATATATGACCATCATTCTTGTATTTGTGTAGAGAGATGATAATAAAGAGTATAATGGTGTACAGGAGGAAGAGAAGATACAGGACACTGTGGGAGCTATCGTCATGGATACCAGTGGTAACATAGCAACAGCGGTGTCCAGTGGTGGAATTTCTCTCAAACAGCCAGGAAGGCTTGGCCCTGTGTGTACACTATCAATAAATATAAATTATATACATTACTCAGTATCTAAAAGATGAATTCTTTTGATAAGTTGTTGATAAGGGACATTTATGTATAGGTTATTGACTGAATAAATTGGGAAATATGCTCACTTGAGGTCTTTGAATTGAACAGTGGACAGAGCTTGTAAGGTCAAAATTGTATGATTTTATTGAGAGGCAGAAAAAAAAACACTTGACTTTTGATACATGTATTTACTCCTTATTGTTAAGGCAGCAACCTATGGTGCAGGATGTTGGGCCTACAATCAGAGACCAGGAAAAGCAGGGGTGGGAACCAGTACATCAGGTAAGACAGCCTTAAAATTAGATAGAGGTCACAGAATTACCTAGGAAACCATGAAAAGTGTTAGGAACAGTTTACTAGATTAGTGCAAACATATTGCCAAAAAAATCATATATATGTTTGACCCAAATCTTTGGAAAGGTAGTGTACTCATACATTTTTAATGATGTAAGCTCTGTGTGCATATGTATTTTTTGCAAAATGTTTTTTGAATTGCAAAATCTAAAACTTCACTAGTCTTATTATTCAAAGAAATGAAGTCATTCAGATGCAGTTATGAAACCCAACAAATTTATTCAGAAGCATATACAGTATGTCATTTTGCAGAAAATTTGGAATTTCAATAGAATGTTACATTAAATACAATATATTTCATGTGGCTCATAAAGGATCTATTACCATAATTTTTTAACATATTACTTTTCAAATCCTATGTATGGCATACCAAATTCACAAAAATGAGCTAAACATAGTTTCACAGTTGATAAACTAGGTGTATCAACTGTAACCTATGGTTTACAAACTATGAACTATAGTTAACAATTCCTTAACCATACTTTTTACCTGTAAAACTATATTAAACTGTTGTGTAAAAAGATGCTAATCTTTTTAACCTGTCTGTTAACCTGTCTGTAATAAAACGTTAACAAAAGACTTTGTTGATAAACATAGATTCAGGTCTATAAACTTTAAGTAACAATCATGAACTATGCTAAGAGTTGTGTATCATAGTTTACAAATTGTATCAGATAATATATGTTTTGCAATCGCAAATGATTGTTTTCAGTGTAAAGTATAGTTTACGGTTCTGAAACATAGATTATCACATTAACTATGGCTTACAGATGAAAAATATAGATTAACTTTGTGAACTATAGTTTACAGTCCGTAAACTATAGTTTACAACCGATAAAACTAGTTTCGACTGTAGAATTATGTTTAGCTAATTTTTGTAAATTTGGAGTGCCAAAGGAAAGATGAAACTCATGTGAAATTGTCCTCATATAGTGTAGATTTAAGTTTGTTCAAATCATGACCCCCGGGGATAGGATTGGGCCAAAATGGACGATCAAAGTTTTACATTTAAGGAATGAATTTAATAGCTACCCATTTTATACGGTATAAACTGGGTTGGGGCAGTTTACACTTTATAAACCGCAAAGCGATTTATAAAAAAGCGTAAACTGTTCCAACCCAGTTTATACCGTATAAAATGGGTAGCTATTAAATTCATTCCTTATAATTTAATTTTCATTCAATTGAAGTAAGAAAAAACGATGATTGTTCAAGCAAAATGACGTCAATTTCTACAAAATTTGAATGTAACGTCAGGCGGATTAATACGTTTCTGACGCAAGTCATTGTGACGTAGGCAACCCATTTTATACAGTATAAAACAATTTTTTATCCAATCAAATAAAGCGTTACAACTAGAATTAAATTATAAGAATATATAATGAAACCTTTTAAAATCCCGTTTCAAGTACTTCAAATTCATGCTTAGTGATAATTATATGGGGTCATCCTCAGGCAGTGTAGATTCTAGTTTGTTCAAACCATAAACCCCAAGCTTCCCCCCTCAGACTCAGTAAACTTTTAATTCTGATCTGATATGTGCTTTCTCCTAGCAAATTGCTCAGGTGAGTGATGTGGCCCCTGGGCCTCTTGTCATATAACATGTGTTTTATATCTTTATACATTTCATACAGGAAGTGGAGAACACATAATGAAGACGTTACTGGCCAGAGAGAGTGCCTTGTCTATACAACGGGAAGATAATGCTAGTCTGGGACTGTCCAACTGTTTTAAAAATAACTTCTTAGGTCAGTGACTTTGCTAGTCTAGTACTGTCCAACTGTTTTAAAAATAACTTCTTAGGTCAGTAAATATGTTAGACTAGACTTGGCAAACTTAAAATGCTTTAAGTTCAGTAACTACAGATAGATGCAGAACTGGATCATTATTATGGTTTAATGCTTAGTCCTTGACCATAACGCTACTGATCCTTTCCTTTGTAGTCGTGTCTAATGACCAATAAATTTGACTGTTTAGAAATATCTGCCACCCAACCAAAAATTCTAAACAAGCCAGTTTATTAGTCTGTTGAAAACTACCGGTATTAAGGGATAGACATGTTAGGAGATATAATATAAAATGTTGGTCAAGGAATATGTCCAGAATCAGGTAGTTGATTGGCCAATGCTGAAAGTGAAGAAATACATCCCTGTAACAATGCACAGAAAATCTTGTGCCATAAATTTCACTATATCTGCATAACGGGATCTATAGCTTTATAGTCTTAGACTTAAATATAAAACCATAACCGTACAGTTCTGAAAGCTATATCTACAGTCAGGGACCACGATGGTAAACAATTGTGATCAGTTTCTTGATTGAAATCAATAGTATTACTGGACTTGTAAAATTCACAATAAATTTAGTTTATCAATGTTAAGGTTAACTTACTTCAATGCTGATTTGTATTTTTTCTCTGACAGAGTCTGAGTTTTTAGAAGAAGAGAAAGACAAGTTGGCTGGGGTGCTGGCTCTCAAACAGAATGATGGGGATACAGGTATCCGGGGCGATTTAACTGTACTTATAAAGACTTGTTAAAAATTATTTACTTGAATATGAAATTTTTTGATTAGATTCTTGCATATGTATATCACTGATATCCTCCTAAAACAGTGTTTATAGAGTTTTACGTCCAAAAACATGGTATTTTTAGCACAATGATTTCTTGTAAATTATTTATGCACACTGTGATAATTGAATTTTATTTCACAGTGGAAGTATTATGGGGTCACACTACAGATAGCATGTGTGTGGGGTATATGTCTTCTTCGCTGAAGAAACCAAAGGTATTATGTACATTATGTATTTAATGTTTATGCAGAAAATGTTTGTGAAAAGTAATTCTAAATAATGTTTTGACCAAGATTTATAAAGTTGTGGTAGAGAGGTGGGAAGATAAACACTTCTGTTTTAGGGTTTATGGCATTATTCTCACATTTGTGCACAATGTGTGGGTCTTTCTCAGCATTAATTAAGCTTTTCTATATGTTTGTTTTAATAGTAACATTATGATTATATCATGTAAGGTATTGCTGAAATTTATTAAGGTAATTGGTTATGTACCGTATATAATTTCAGGTTGTCATGTCTCGACTCCCAGAAGGTGGGATCCCTGGGAAATCTTTCACCATGTCTGGAGTGTCCATATGAAAGGATACCCAATAGAATGCCCTCACAAACCAAGTATTGTGAGTCTATATATTGATATCAGGGAAATCCCTTACCACATCTGAAAGGGCTGAGAGGAGCTGCACCATAGCTAGGAAAGTCCCTCACCATGTCTGGTGATATGCAGGGACTGGAAGAGGAACCCTTTGACAAGGCAGTGTCTATATGGAAGACATAATGGAAAACCAGGGAAATATTTTCCATCTTTGTTGTGTTCATTCAAGGGGACAAACCATATAATGCAATTATATTTTGTTTGCCTTTGTTTAATAGACTTTTTGTCTCTGGTTTTGAGAATTTTACAAAGATTTGAATTAACACCTTCCCCTTAGTCACGCATTTTAACGCATATACCTTTTCCTATTTCCAACGAAAAATCACGCATTTACCGTTTCCCCGCAATCACGCATTTTCACGCACTTTTAGAAGTTCATTTAATCTTCAATTTATTGCCAAATTCCAACTATTTCCTACTTGCTTGAATAGTATGAAATAAGAAAAGTTATTTTCTAATTAAATAATATTCCAGAATATCATTTACGCTAAACTTTAGAGAAATGTGTACCCCGCTACAAAGTCCTTGTGGGGAAATGGTAAAGTAATGTATTATGACGCGAGGATTCAATGTATGTTGCATATCAATTCTGTAAGTTGTAAAGAGTTAACCTTAGAGCTAATAAATCATCCTTGTCAAAGTTGGTTTTTGGTTACTATTTCAGAAATCACCTCCAAAAAATACTTGATATCAGGATTACCTAACTCTTTCACGATGGAAGTAGGAAATGTCTGTTTGGCAATTGTTTGGTGGGGGCAAATGTGCTATTGAATACAATGCAAGATTGATAATTGTAAAATTCATAAGGACGGATAAGTTCAAAAATCCTTGTGGAATACCTTTCTAAACAATCGCTGAATTACTTATTTAGCTAATAAATTTTTGAGAGGAGCCAATCCTAAATTGTTACATTTTTAATGATATTTGAAACTAATTAGCGGACTCTTGTTAAATTTTCTTTGAAAATCATCACATTTTAAAGCAGATAATATATGCTAAACTTTCCTTATTTGACAATCTACTATTGGGATTTCAATATCTAGCAATACAGTGTGCTTTCGGCATTAAATTGTTGAAATCATTCGATTGACACTACTGTAAACAATGTCATGTGCCCCAGAAATCTAAACCTTTCGCGCCACCCCCACAAAAGCAGGCACGTAGCACATTTTTTGCAAACACTACTATTACTATTGAAAATGTTCACTGAAAGGCTGGTTGCCCCCAGTATCAATATGAAGTAGATATTTACATGTTTCGAAGCAATATACGAGTACTTTTTACAGTTCTTTGATTTGAAGAAATTCACTTTATTTGGACTGCAGCTTTTAGAAAGAAGTAAATGCTAAAATGTTGACATATTGTTCTATATGACATGGTGATTTGTTTAAGATATAATTTTGTGTAGCTCTAGATTATCTTGCTTTAAATCCATATTCCAAAAACCTGGATCATTTACATTATTTCTTGAGTCTATGTTATAGATATACCAGTGAATACTAAAAAGGTTTGAACGAAACAGGGGTAGGTGTTAGTAGGGCGTATTATTAATGTAATCTGTTTCGTCCTATAGTCATGTAATTTTGATGATATGCATAAAGCAAGCTGTATGGGTTTTGCTGTTGATTATTTTTTTCCAGTTTGGTAAAATGAAGTATTTTTAGTCTATTTTAAGTATTTTTTAAATTTTCCATTTTATTACGAGGTTACACAAATCACTCATTGCTATATGGTTTTATACACTTGTCCTAGCTCTACCAGTTTTTTTTTTAATTCTTGAATATTTTCAGATTCTTATTTGAAATGGCTGAAAATCCTACCATCTCCCTTACAAAACCTTAGAGGGACCCCGGAGTGGCGCTAAAATTCAGAATTAATCAAATCTCCATCTGTAGGCTTAAATGCTTGCATGATTATAATGAATATTTATCCAATGGATTCAACAATTAACTACATTCAGTTAGAAATGAAAACCAAAACTATTCTGTTTGTATGTTGTCTATCGAATTCTGCCACGGACTCTAGTCAATGAAAGATTTAATTAATTATGACATAAATTTGACGTAACTGTTAACCAATAATTAAATGCATTATTTATTATTATTGTTGACTTGATCATGTATCAGATTATCAATTCGTTCTCACACATTATCAATTCGTTCTCACATTATCAATTCGTTCCCTCAAATTACACAATTCGTTATCTCGGATTGTACAACATATTAATAATATACACGTAACACAAAAACCTGCCTTTTTTGTATTGTATCAGTATGAGCATATGGATTTGAAAAAATGTTCATTTAATTTTCTCATTTTGGACCATAATATGTAATGAAAGGAAGGATGTAAACTTCTACAATATTCTATTATAATATTAAACACGTATTGCCATATCCGATATGTACAGATAAATAAGACTCATGAAATCATCGGAATGGTTTAAATTCCGAGGGAACGAATTGTTCAAATTGAGAGAATGAATCATAATCCGAGGATTGAGTTAGCTGAGGGAACGAATTGATAATCTGTTTAAACGAATTGGCAATGTGTTACAATATATTGTCAATCTCAGAGAACGGACTGTCTAATTCGAGAACTCGGTTTACTTTTATCCATTAAAAAAAAATCCTATGTCCCTTCATGGCTTTCTTATATACCACCTAGAGCATTGAAAATATTGAGAAGATATAAGAGAAAACCTGTTTAAACTTAAAACAAGAGGCCCAAGGGCTTTGAATCGCTCTTCTGATAAATTGTACAACATATCACTTGTATTTGAAGCCTCTAATCTTAAGTATCCTAAGACCCAAGTTGCATCAACTGACAAAATTTGATGATTCTTAGCCAATTAGGACTGAAGATATTTTAATAAAGCTATAAAAAACCATGAGAAGGTCACAGTGACCTACTTTAAGAATGAAGTTTTCTGAGGACTCAAGATGCATTAATAGAATAACTAAGATTGAAGATTCGAAGCCAGTAAGTATTTTAAATATTCAAAAGTAGGTTATCTTGGCCTACTTTTTGGTCGACATTCTCTGAAAACCCAAGAGGCATCAACTAATAAAGTTTGATGATTCTTATCCGCTAAGTACCAGAGATACTTAAATATAGCCATAACATGTCGAAAGTAGGTCATCGTGACGTACTTTTTAGTCGTCACTCTCCGAAAACCCAAGATGCATCAACTGACAAAATTTGATGATTCTAAGCCAATACGTACCAGAGATACTTAATTATAGCCAAAAAATGTCAAAAGTAGGTCACCGTGACCTACTCTTTCGTTGGCACTCTCCAAAAACCCAAGATATATCAACTGACAAAGTTTGATGATTCTAAGCTAATAAAAATACCTGGGATACCTAAATATAGCCATTAAATGTCAAAAGTAGGTCACTGTGACCTATATTTTGGTCGGCACTTTCCGAAAACCCAAGATGCATCAACTGACAAAGTTTAATGATTCTAAGCCAATAGGTACCGGAGATACTTAATTATAGCCATAAAATGTCAAAAGTAGGTCACCGTGGTCGTCACTCTCTGAAAACCCAAGATACATTAACCGACAAAGTTTGATGATTCTAAGCCAATAAGTACCAGAGATACTTAATTATAGCCATAAAATGTCAAAAGTAGGTCACTTTGACCTACTTTTTGGTCGGCACTTTCCCAAAACCCAAGATGCATCAACTGACAAAGTTTGATGATTCTAAGCCAATAAATACATAAAATACTTAAATATTGCCATAAAATGTCAAAAGTAGTTCATCGTGACCTACATTTTGGTCAACGTTTTTCAAAGTCTTAAGATGAATCTGCCGATCAAGTATGATGATCGTAGGTCTGAAGGTTATCAAAATATTCCTATTAAACAATTTGAAAACAAATGACTGCAAAATTCTAAAAGTAGGTCACAGTGACCTACTTTTTCTTAAATAGGTTTTAAGGTCCCAAGATGTAGCAACTTACAAGATTTGATGATTCTAACCCTCTTGTGTCTTAAATAATGGGATTAAATGTTTTAACAAGGATGTCATAAAGTTCAAAAATTAGGTCACGGTGACCTGCTTTTACGTTGACGTTGTTCAAGGACCCAAGATGCATCTACTGAAAAAATTTGATGATCATAGGCCTAAAAGTGTCCAAAATATGCCTTCAAATCAATTTGAAAACAAATGCCTGCAAAATTAAAAAAGTAGGTCACCGTGACCTACTTTTGAGTTAACATGATGTGAAGTCCCAAGATTCATCAACTTACAAGATTTGATGATCCTAGTCCTAATAGTAAGCAAAATATCAACGTTTTTATTAATTGTAAATTTAGGTCAAATTTGAAGTGACCTTGAGACAACGCCCTTTGCCCCAGGCCATGCCATGCCTTGAACAATTTTTAATTTTCAACATATCCTGATCCTTGTATGTAAGTTTGGTGAAAATCTGCCTGGTGGTTCTGGAGAAGAATATTTTTTTAGCAACCAGTACTTTAGGTTTTGTTTTCCTGATTATTTCCCCTTGTTTTAGGGTACCAACCCTTATTTTGGTATAAATGGTAGCCCTTGGGCCAAGGATACCCTGTGACAAGTTTGAAAATGATTGGCCAAGGGGTTCTTGAGTTATGGCCCATATTCTAAAAAGTTAACGCACATCGAACAAATGGCCATAGCATAAGCTCTTTGAGCCTTTGGCTCAGAAAAGCTAATAAAAGCTTGGAAGCTAAGATAATACGAACAAAACGGAATAAAAGACTACTTGTAACACTGCCAAAAAGGGAGACCCAATTTGCAGTGAAACAGTTTACTGTACTGGTATAGCCCTGCTGCCAGTCGCTAGCAAGATCCTATGTAGAGAAATACTGAATAGGAAGAAAGATACGATGGATAAAGTTTTAGGTGATGAACAAACAGGTCACCTGGATAAGGAAGTGAGCGTTACAAGTTTTAGGAACTAGTACAAAAAATGTCTTCAAATTGACAGATAGGCATTAGATCCGACAGAAGAGACGGAATTGCAACCCTAAGAATAATCGCAGAGCAATCTGTTGAATGGCAATCATCTTTGTATATATTTTATCGACTTAAAATATGCATTAAATGCATTTGACCATGCCATTAGAGATGGAATGTGGCAAATGATGATACACTATGGGATACGATCGAAGATAGTGAATATTATCGAGACTCTATGAAGAATTTTCAGTACAAGTTACATACACGGGAGATCTCACTGATAGTGATTCCTTTAAGTTAAAACTAGAGAGAAACAAGGCTGCTTTCACTCACCTATTATGTTCCTACAGTGATAGACTGGATCATAATGCTGTTATTCGACAAACCAAGGCCAAGGACAGTGGTCAGAAGATAAGAAGACTTGGATTTTGCCGATCACCTTGTCCTAATAATAATAATAAGACACCAGAGAAGGGAACAACAATTTAACAACAAGTTAAACGGAATTGAAAAGAGAATAGGGTTCAAAACTAAAAGACTAGAAAAGATGGACCAATCAGAACTGAGGGGGGAAGAAATTTACTGACCGAGCGTCCATCATTCAGACGAAGACATTTAAGTCAGAATAAGCAAGGCCCGACAGGCTTTCGCAATGCTTAAATCAGTCTTGAATACCAGTGCACTAAATGAAAGCACCAAGATCCAAGTATTTCATATCAATATTTTACATGTTTAATGAATTCTTTTCTACGGATGTGAAATCTGAAGATTAGCGGCAGGACTACAACAAAAATCCAAATATTTACCAACCAATTAATGACTTCAACACATCTGTAATGTGATGCGGCCAATATCAAACGAACAGCTACTGAAACGTACCAAGAACCAATATCTCTCCAAATCAAGAAACAAGCATCACAGCGTTTTGGGCAGACTTGGACATGGCCCCAAAACGGCATCATCGGCGAGGCATTGGACTGGACTGGAATACACAAGGTCAAAGAAAACAAGGGTGACCATTACACAACTGGAGGAAAACAAGAAAGAAAAAGCTTGAAAACATTGGAAAGACGTAGAAGGAAGCAAAAGAACAGTATTGTTCGACAGAGCAACTGTAGAAGAAATGTGCTCCACAAGGAACGAAGATGATTAAGTAAGTACCAAAGTAATTTAGTTATATAAATTGAAATGCATGATAAGCTCACCTGAGCTGAAGGCATTATGATTCCATCGCATGTTTGATCTCATCAAATTGACTATTCACAGGTCTCAGGAAACTGATGAAGAAAACGGTGAGTAGTATTACTACTTTGTACTCTGAAAGTTATCTGTATTATCAGAGGGTCGCCATCCTTTCAACAATATTTTGAAGGCATCTTAGCAACCATGCAATAAAACGGTTGAAAATTTAAGTAAGTATATAATTCCTATATATGACACCCCCTTTCCAAAATAGATAATTGAATAAATGTTGAATCAACTGCTTTTCAACATATAATCAACGTTGATTATCAATGTTGATTCAATGTTAAGACTTCAACGTTGATACAAATTTTCAAAATCTAACATAAAATTAATGTTGAATCAACATAAAAAAACAACGTTGATTTAAAGTTTATTCAATGTTGTGTGCCCGCTGGGTAGTTACTTGGAAATAAAACCTACCCAAAAACTGCACCAAAAATGTTAACCTGCTCCAAAAACATTAACCTGGTCATTCCTTTGCTGCAATTGCAGTATCTGAAACTTTGACTGGTACAATGAAACACACTAGAACAATTTTCTATGCATGTCTAATTAATATAGGTCATAGAAGTACTTATAAAAAAAACTGCTCCAAAAAAATTAACCTTAACCTGGGACGCCGACGCCGACTCCGAGGGTATTACATAAGCTCCCCTAACTTCGTTGAGGTGAGCTAAAAATGAATCTCGATATAGAAGCATGCTGATATATCATTTAAAAATAAATATGTTTAAAGGAATTATGTAAGGTACTTTACTTACTGATAATTCTCCCAAGATATTCTTCATTTAATAATATAGTGCTATCAGATGTTTATAAATAAAAAAAATCAGCATGGATTACCAGAATTTTTTGGGGAATATATATTATATATTTTTTTTCTATTATTGAAAAAAAAATACAAAATTACCAAACATAAATTTCAGATTATTTTTCCATCAATTTTTTTAAGAAGAGGTGTACAAATCCATATGTAGAAATTAAAAGTATTGTGCACATGTCCTTCATTTAGTGGAACTCTTCAACTCCACGGAAGAGCCCAATAAAGTTCAAACTACGTTCCATATGACCTTAATTAATTTGTATAACTAATGAATTATATAGAGCATACAACACAGTGATGTATTTCAATGCAAATATTTAACTTTCTTTACTTGTGTGTTTCTATATTGAGCAACAAACAGATTGTCAATTGTATCTGTACACAAGCCTTCGGGTTGACTTAGCCCACAGTCTATGTAACGGAGGAACTGTCCATTCTGGTCTATGATGTGGACACAGTCATTGTCACAATCAGCTGTAAGGATGTGACTCTGACTGTCTGTAGTGATTCCTCGTGGATCGAATGGTTGGTTATTTAGAGCAGGAATATGTCCAGTGTATCTGAATCTCAGTTTCCCGACCTGATTGACCACAACTACTGCTCTAGTTTTCTCATCAGACATACAGATATCCAGGTTCCTGTTCTCAGTTATGTATCTGTAATAACCATCAGATGAATAAAAAAGTTTACCTTTATTATCAAACTGACTCATTTGCTTCTCTGTGGAGCCAGAGTAACTGACAACTTTTGTTTGATTTTCATTTTTACTACACACGATAACCAGTAGGTCACCAGAGGAGGTACAACAAACACCACGAAATTTCCAGTTCTCCGGTCCATGTAGTCTGATCAACTCCTCTACTTTATCATTTTTCACAATGTTCACAGTTCCATCATTTTAAATCAGTATAAACTAGATCTCCACATTTGGTCACTGCTATGTTAGTTGACACTTTTCCCTGACGTTGATGTGATTGACTTGAGTAGTGATCCCTGATTGATGCTGAAGAGTTTCATGGTGCTGTCACTTCCACTTGTCCAGATTTCTTCACTACTCAGACAGGCCACATTGTATAGATAACCCCTATACCCAGTGTCTATGGTGGTGACAGTCTCTGGTTCATTTAAGAGCTGTTTGACTGGAGGAGAGGATCCAGCTTCTGGTGATTTCTGTATTGTCTTCATGCTGTAGCCATGTTCATTTGATGTTAAATAACCTGATGCTAAGGATCCATACAGTTTAATTAAGTTTTCTCCTTGGATTTTTCCCGGTTTGAATTTGGGTAAAGATGGCATAATTTTGTGTGGAAGATTTCTGTATATATCTACATTGGATGTAACACTAAACAGTTTTGACAAGTCATTAGTGTCTATAGCCATTTCAACCGAATTGATTTCATCCTTGATGCCAGCCATTGTCTTGTTTATTTCATCCAGATGTTTCTGTAGAGTTTGTAATTGTTTGTTTTTCATCTCATCAACTTCAGCTTTAAGTTTCTTGACAAGTTTGTCAATTTCTCTGTGCCAGTCCTCTCCATGTTTTGTAATGGCTGTTGAGAGATCCCCATATTCCTTTTCTAACTGACTCATTCTGTTCTGTACATCAGAGGCAATGTCATGGTAGGTTGGATAAATTGTTTCATTTAATTCAGTTACATCTTTCATAATTTTGTTTCTTTTTTCATCTAAGATTTGTAGAATTTTTGAATATTTATGACCGAGATGATGATCAGATGCAATACATGTGTTGCATACAGGAATGTCACATTGATTACAGTACATTTCACATCGTTCTTCGTCATGGGAATGGGATTCACATCCAGGGAAGAGAAGAGTAGATTTCCTGGAGTCAAATTTGACGACTTTGTGGTCCTTGGATTCATCTGTTGAGATGTGTTCTCCAACGCAGGCCTTACACAGGTTGACAAGACATGTATCACAGTGCATCTGTACCACAGCGGTCTCACACAGGTCACATAGCATCACGTCCTGGGCACTGGTACGGGGGTCCATGATAAATTTTAAAGCGGGATCAATATACTAGCAAATCTGAAAATAAAAGAAATGCATTATTATTAGAAATAATTACATGTAAGTTCCAGACATTTATCCAATACATCCCAGTAGACTTGAGAGAAAAAGATGAATTTGTTTGCAATGGTTAAAACCTACTAAAGTTTATCTATAACTATTCTCTGATCACTTGATACCATGTATTATATACCTGTCAGGTGTTTATACGTTCTGGATAAAAGCGAATTTGAATACCAGCTTGCTATTCAAACTGCTCTAGCATTTTTTTTTAATTTTGATTAGAATTAAGTACTAGTATGGACATCATAGTTTTAATTTTAAAAAAATCAAAACTATTAAAATATATGTCCATAGGACATGAATGCCCCGTCGAGAGTGTATTAGTAATGCAACATGATAATTTGAATGAAATTTGATCAGAATACCTTGAAAAGTGATGCAGTTGAATTGCTTACATCAGTATAATCAACATATGAAGTTGAAAATTTCTTGTAAATGGTTTGTTTAAAACTGAATAACGCCAATTTGATAACCTGGGGTTAAGGTCAAACGAAAGGTCAAGGTCAAAAATGTTGATAGAGTTGAAATGCTTATATCAATATGTATCGCCATATGAAGTTTGACAATGATTTAGTAATGTGAGGTCGAGGTCAAAGCAAAGGTCAAGGTAAAAAATGTTGATGCAATTAAATAGCTCTAATCTATGTGTATCAAAATATCAAGTTTGATAAAAAAGACGATGAATGATTTATTTAAAACTGACTTGAACATAATTTGATACAAGTGAACTCAAGGTCAAATGAAAGGGCAAGGTAGGAAATGTTGATGTAGTTGAATTGCTTACATCAGAATGTATCAGCATATGACGTTTAAGACTAATTTAAGAAAAGTGAGGTCAAGGTCAAAGGAAATAAATGTCAAAAATGTTGGTGCAACTGAATAAATGTAGCTCTCATCAGTATGTATCAACATGTGAGTGTAATAACACCATCTTGAATGGTGTGGTTAAAACTAAGCTAAACACTTATATAAGGAAAAGTGAGGTCAAGGTCAAAAAATGTTGATGCAGTTGCATAGCTCTCATTAATATCTATCAGCATATGAAGTTTGATGAAAATATCTTGAATAGTTTCTTTGAAACTGAGCTTTGAAGAGAGCTAAACGCAAAGTGTGACGGAAGGACAGATAGAAGGACGGAAGACGGACATGAAAAAAACCCCTATATGCCCCGGCCATATTAATGGCGGGGCATGAAAGTAATATACTTGCTTTATTATTTAAAGTTAGAAAAATACAGAATCATAAATTTTCCTTTAAGTTTTGGAACTCTTCATCTCAAGTGAATATGACATTGGAGATATGATATGGAGATAACCAACAGTACTCAAGCCCAAAATCTATTATTACGGCAAACACGGACCTATTAAACATTAG